TATGAATGTTCATTGGGGTTTTTTCCGGATTTTTTTTTTCCACTATTTTACCACTTTAACTAGTTGTACAAGTCATAAGAATGTATCCAACATGTTTTATAAAAGTTCAAAAAGTTATTTAACATGTTTTGGATTGTTCAATGACTTATTTGTTCCAAAAATTGTCCAATGAGTTACTTAACATTTTTTGGAATGTCCAAGGACTTATTTGTTCCAAAAATTGTCCAATGACTTATTTAACATATTTTGGAATGTCCAAGGAATTATTTGTTCCAAAAAATTGTCTAAGGACTTATTTAACATGTTTTGGAATGTCCAAAAACTTATTTGTTCCAAAAAAAAGTCCAAAGACTTAATCATTCCAAACAAGAAAGTCCATTGGTTTTTATTGTACTTTTCCCTTACTTAAACGAGCAACATAAAAAAGAGAAATGGCCTAAATGCCCCTCACTAAAAGGATGGGAGTTAACAACGTTAGTGACAAGGAACAAAACATTATAAAATGCAAATTTTAGGGGCTATTTTAGAATTAAAATAACTTTTGAGAATCAAAATCCAAGACAAACATACAACAATGGGGACCAAATCCATAACTTACTCTATTATCTATTAATACATTTATTTTAAAGTCAATTTCAGTTTTAGCCCCTAATATATGTCAATTTCAACATGTGTAATCCACAAACTTTATGGACTTGGATTTGGTCCCTCACGTTTGTCAATTCTCAATAGTTTTGGTCCCTCAATCTAAAGGTCGTTAATTTTTTCGTTAAGTCAAGTTAGATAAAGGGTATTTTAGTCATCTTACCTATCACCAGCCACCTTTGTTATCTCCGACTGTTACCATATCTCTTGTCATCACAAAACACAACACACAAACACATACCTATCAATCAAATCCAAATCCAAATCCAAGTTCAAGTTCCCAAATCAAAATCACAATCAAATCCAAAACCAAAACCCCAAAATCAAAATCAAACCCAAATCCAGAACACATAAATTAAAATCAAACCCTAACCTTAATCACAAAAACTCAAATAAAAATCATACCCAAATAGGAGAAGTTGATTACCATCTCAGAGGCTAAATCAATATCTACCGTAAAGAAATCGAATTTCATATCTAGTTCTATTATGAAATTGAATTTCACTGTGGAACCCTAGTCGCAGCCCCCACTGAGATCCATTTTCAATTCCATGGTGGCGATGGTGGAGCGAACACATAAATTGATGGGGAATAGGGGGCTTTGACATATTTAGGGTCGACGGTTGAGTAGAGACGAAAGAATGGGGTAAGAAATCATAAGAGGTTGAGGAAGGCTTTTGGTGATGAAGGGAAGGGCTTTCCCGGTGCTCATAGGGACGAAACCCAAACATCTCCCGCAATAGCTAATACCGACTAGCTTCTTGGTTCCCTGTGGCGATTACCATCGATTCAGCAAGGAAAGAAAGGCGGTGGTTGGGTGGTGCAATGGTAGATCACCGTAAAAACATGGATGGAGATGGCGTCATGAATCAAAAAGAAAGGGAGGACGGGGTTAATGGTTTGTATATGGTAAATTGACCATAATGTCGCTCATATAAATGAATTTAAGGGAAAAAGGGACCAAAACCATTGTGAAACGACAAATGTGAAGGACCATATCCGAGTTTTCGAAGTGTAAGAACAATATCCATTAAAATTGACAAATATTAAGGACAAAAAATGAAGTTTACTCTTTAGTTTAACAAATTTTAATCAATCAAAATAATATTTTTCTTAAAATTATTACAACCAAACAGTGGATAAATGCTTTCAAAAGAGGGAAAAGTTTATTCGGTATTGATCGTGACAATGCCCAAGCAAATCAAAATGGACTCTGGGACAGCCACTAATTAGTCCGTGCACCATTTGTTATGTACGTGCACGATACATACATATATAGTCTATATATACACACACACCGATATTTATTTGGATAAAAAGTTTATTATCGACAATCCCAATCCGTCTCATACGGAATCCGCCTTCAAAGACAACAATATGAGAGCATTTTTCTCTCTCATTAAATGGTTGAGGCTAGCGGGAGTTCCAGTATCGAATCAGAACCTGTCTTGTATTTGGGCATCAGGGCCTTTAAGGGTCTTGGCCCCTGGGCTCTTTTTTTAGATAGAGTGAAACATCTTCAGTCCATGAAGATTTTAAGTATAAATTTTCTTTGAATCCCTTCACTATTATTGATCAGTTTATTTGTGTTCCATCTCTGCTTAATTTAATAAATTGGAAATAATACAACAATAAATATAGATATTTATAAGAGATTCTTTGTTTGTGAGGATTCATGTGTGCATGCTTGAAACTAAAGCTACAGTGACCATCACTTTTCTTCACAGCCATTCGCAAATAAAGCTTGCTCCATATTCTTTATTAATTTAAAAGAATATAATAATAATTATTTTTCTTTCTAAGAAAACAAAAAATTTGAAATCATTATTGCATACATACTCAGTCTTTTTTAAAGATACTGTGGATTTTTCTGACTGTTATTTAAGATTCAGTAAAATTAATCGAGAATTTAAAGTACGTAGAAATTGATACGGACATTTATGATTAACCAAAAACCGTTATTATATTAAAGTTTTCTCCGTCTGATACATCGTTTATGACCATACAGAGTCTTTATCATTTAAAATGGAATAAGTCAAGTTGGATGACAACACTTCCTTTTTACAATTATTTCTAATTTATAAATAATTAATATATTAAATATTATTATAAATATTATATTATTAAGATTATAATTTAGCTTTTTAAATAACACGATTTAAGAAATTGATTAAAATTTATGCAAGTTATTACTAAGTTTTTGTTAAGTATCAATTAATTACAAAGAATTTAAATATTAAACAAATTTGTATTATCAATTATTAGTCCTACACATGTACAAAATAAATATATAGAGACAAGGTGCAAGTTAAATATATTATAAAGTATTTTACAAAAATTATTAAAAATCATTTTTTATGTATAAAATATTGTTTATTGATGCATATATTACTTAAAATTCAAGATTACGCGTAGATTATGTGTAAATGCAACTTATTAAAGCTTCATGTTTGAATTCGTGTAAATAATTATAGATAAACATAATAAAATACAAGATAAATATCTCATTTTAAATATAAAAAATCTAAAATATAAGGATAATCATTGAGTTATAAAATAATACTTAATTATTATATTTATAAAAAAATTATATTATTAAACCAAAATTAAATTAATTCGTTAATAAACTTAAATTAAAATATAATAAAAAATTGAATTAAAGAAACTACACAATAAAGATAACTTTTAACTAGTTAATGTAATACTAATACCATATATTTTTGTAAATTTTTATGATATCTTTAAATTTATATTTTATTTAAAAATAAAAACATTGTCGTTTTTTTCAAACACATAGAATCGAGATGTATCTCGTTGCTTTACGCGAGTACCCTTCTAGTATTTTATAAGAGGCTGTTTGTTTGGGTCTGAATGGTACCATTCAGATCCTACATCTCAATCGGTCAGAGGTTATGTTTGACAAAAAATTAACATGCTCTGAATCATTCCACATACACACTGAGGGCTGTTCGGTTCGTTTTCTATCAAGACCTATATGGATAAAGTTGTCTATAATTATAAAGTTGTCTGCATGATAACAGATAAATTATTGTTCGGTTGTTGTGTTGAATAAACTGTTTGAGTAATATAAATGACCATTTTACCCCTTCCATTTTTTAGCTTTTTTCATTAACAAAAAGAATCAATTTCTTGTTCATTTCCCAAGTTCCCAATCATATTTCTTCTTCCTATGAACATACACGATAACAAAAGAAAAACAACGAACAAAGCCCATAAACATCAAAATTAATAAACAAAAGCACCAATAATAAATACAATACTCATCTGTTGATTCATACAAAACCCAAAATGATGAGGAAGCACAGAAGAAAGAAAGAAAAAGGATCTATTGATGAGATCCAAAACCTCTGTGTTAAGTCTTCAATATCAAACTTCCATGGTCACTATACCAGATCTGTTGAGGGATATTTCTTCAGGCGTGGGTTTCTTTGACAATAAGGTTGGAAGATCAACACATAGCGAGGGCTGGAAGCAAGACCCGGAGGAGTAGGGATGGTGATTTACCCCGACCTGGTGGGGAACCCGATTCATCCGACCCGAACGGGGACGGGGATTCCCCGCTAAAACGGGTCCCAAGGCCGGGGCCGGGATCCCCGATAGACTCAAACCGGGGACGGGAGATGTTACTCAAACCGGGGTCAGGATCCCGGTAGAATCAAACTAAATGATACTATTTTATGGGGTTTGACCGGGGATTGCTAGAGATTTGCCCCGGGACGGGATGATAATCCCCGTACCCACCGGGCTCGGGGATTACAAAACCCGCCCCATCCCTGCCACATTGCCATGCCTACGGAGGAGGCGTCTAGTTGGGACTTGGGAGGGACGTTGATGGGAAGCCTGGAAGGAGTATCGATGGGAAAGGAACCGTGTATAGGAGTTTAATGTGATTAGTTGGGGAGGGAGGTAGTTGGGGAAAATTAATGCAATTTAATAGCCGAGTGTATAGAAGAAGGGTCTTCAAACGGAGCGATTCAGCCATGGGCTAACCGAATAAGCCTATACCGAACCGCTAGATATAGCTGAGCAAATAAGCCATATAACTTATACAACCCATTAATACACAACCGAACAGCCCATTAACGGCTCACCATCTAACAGCCTGCGATATTATTCAAAAGCCCCTTTCCCCCCTTGCCCTTGCTTCTATCGTCTACTGATGCAGGTCTCGTCTTCTCGATCTCATCTATTGCAATTGTTCACTTCTGGTCCATCTCTGTTATCCTCGTTATTGTTGGCTCTCGCATTTCCCATCAATCTTGTTGGTATGTGAATCACTCAAACTAATTCTAGGTTTGAAACAATGATTCATGTGATTTACGTGGTGTTTTGTAACAATAATTTGTGTTTGGGTATGAATTCCTTTGGGGGTTTTTGAAGTAAGCAATTCCTTTCTAACATCTCTCCATCTTGGTTTATGATTACCCCCCACTTTGGTCCTATCTTCGTTTTTCACATCATCCCGCTGTGTTCATTCTTTTTCTTAAACACAAGTGTTTGATGAAAGTCCTCAATGAGAAAAAATTCAAGTAAAAGAATTGTTTGCAGATCACTATCTTCGTTTGTGATTATTTTTTTTATTAAAAAACCTGGATATCCAATTCGCTGTGCGAGCCGACTAACCTCAGAACGACCGCCTGCTTTGCAATTTTTCTATTTACCACAATGGCTGTCTCGATGTCTACCGGAGCTCGGATCCGACTCTTAATTGAGACAGGAGATCCAAGACTTGAAGTAGGAGTCACTTCTGTTCCCTTATACATATACGGATCATGTCATAAAAAAAAACTTGTCAAACAGTTATTTTTCATTTTGCACTAAATCATAAAGAATTTGTTAATCATACCGACCATTTAATCATTTTACGTCAAGTCATTCAAAATTTGTCAAACATCCCCTAAGATGGCATAAATGAGGTGCATAAAGTTCTTCTCGATACCTTTCACCTTTTCTTTCATCACGTGAATTATAACTAATTCGGTTTTATCTACTTCTATCCACATGCGATAAGAAAGAAACATGTGTACTTAACCAATATACAGACAGAGGTTTCGTTTTTATCTTAATTACTGTTTTAAGTGTTGCTTTATATGTATGTGTGTGTGTGCACAAGCATAGTTTTACCATTCTGTGGCTTTTTTTAGAGAGAGAATAAGGGGTTTCACTTATTTTAGTATATAAGAGAACATTACGTATGTGTGGTTCTGACTAGTCGTTGAATACTATTTTTTTTTATAAATATGTTAAAATTTTAGGTTGTAGAAATTAACATATAATCAACCAATAAATTTTATGCGAGTCGACTAATCCCAGGGCGACCATTTGTTTTGCAGATAGTTCGGAGTCACCCGTATTTGAACCTCCATAGCCACAAGGAGATTTTTAATCCTTATTGGATTTGAACTTGAGACCTTCAGGTACTTTTGATCTTTGGAGCATTATTTTCCAAGATCTTAATTATTTTAAATGTAAGAGTAAATTGCGGGTTTGGTCCATGTGGTTTGTGACTTCTTATTGATTTGTTTTTTTATCTTTATTTATTAGATGATAAGTTTCTACTGTGTAATTTATATTGGATATGGTCTCTCATACCAACGATCATTCAATATGTCTGTTAAATACGAGAGTAAATAGGTCATTTTACCTTTTTCAATTTTACAATTTTTTTAACCAACTATATCTTTTCTTTTTTGAATATTCATCTTTCCAGACTATTCCTCAACTATAATATCAAAAGGACTAAGAATATTTAACAACATAAAAAAACACTTGCCATTCGTTGATTATTAGCGGCATCCCGAAAGCATCCGATCGAAATAGGCTTTCAAATTAAGCTCCGAATTAGTGCCACTTCTTTCTTGCTTGATTGGGGGCTTCCATTCACCAACACAGACTAAAACTGCTCTCTGAATCGTGCTGCAAATTCAAACAAAAACCAATATAAAATCAAGAAAATCATCATTGCTATAAATAACTATGAGTACCATTAGATTAACGATGCGATTAAAATTACTATTTCATACTTACACTTAACAGAAAAACATAAACGACGTTAATATGAGGGACAAAATCCAATACAAATTACTTAAGTAAAGGTTTTATTATGAAATAAATAAAAATAAAGGACCAAACCCTTAATAAATCACAAACCAAAGGACCAAATCCGTAATTTACTCTAAATATAATTAATTTTAATCAAATAAATTATAACACATTTTATTTAGACATATATACCCCTATGTAGTGTGTATATACATACAATAAATATATATATAAGAACTCTATTTCCTTGTTTAAGAAGAATAAAGGTCTTATCTTTCAGGCGCCGGACGTCAACTATTTCTCGCCGGCGGCCGATCTTACGATGATGCACGAGTCTCCTCACGACCAACACAATACAGAATCAAAATCTGAAGGAGACGAAGAAGATCACCATCTCCTGCTGATATCCCAATCTCCCCTCCCCTTATCCACCGACAACAATCCTAAAGATAATTACGTCTCCGACGAGGAAGAGGTTGCCTATGAATCTCATGATAAAATTGTAATCGACGGATTAGATTCAGATTCCGATAATACTGATTTCAACTCCACGCCACCCTTCTCGTGGAAGAAGCTATGGTTATTTACGGGGCCAGGGTTTCTAATGAGCATAGCGTTTCTAGATCCGGGAAACCTAGAAGGGGATCTTCAGGCTGGTGCCATTGCTGGCTATTCTCTATTGTGGTTGTTGATGTGGGCGACGGGTATGGGTCTCCTGATCCAGCTGTTGTCCGCTCGGGTTGGGGTGGCTACCGGCCGGCACTTATCGGAGCTATGTAGAGAGGAATACCCTAGGTGGGCTGGATTGCTGTTGTGGTTCATGGCTGAGATAGCGTTGATTGGAGCTGACATTCAAGAAGTGATTGGCAGTGCCATTGCTATACAGATTCTTAGCAATGGGATTCTTCCTCTTTGGGCTGGGGTCGTGATCACTGCTTCTGATTGGTTAGTTTTCTCTTTCCAATTCGATAAATTTTAGCTAATGACTGCTGTTTCTTTTGATGAGAAAGCTGTTGGACCTTTTGACTGAGAAAAGCTGTTAGAATTGCTTGAAGTTAAAGAGATTTATTGTGACCCTTTTGATTAGAGTCATGGGGTTCGTTTTTCAACATCTGATCTGATGAATGCATTGCATTTCACAGGAATCTTGATGGCTAAATACATAAATGACAATTCTTGCATACTGAAATTTCGATACTTAAAAGCTTTCTATGTCCATCTAGTCACCGCGATTCATGAGGTTTTGACCGGTACAACAAGCTGATTCCATAAGGAAAACTCTGAACTTTTTTGTCATTTGACTAAAACCTTGAAAGAAAGAAATACAAATTCATGCTGGAACAGAACATTGCTATAACCAATATGACTGGAGAGAATTTTGAAAATTTGGCTATGCACACATAGAATGAGATCCCACATGGTTGGAAATGGAAGAAAAAGAAGACACTGGCATGCAAAAACTCTACAAAAGCATGATTGGAGAAGAACAGAACAAAGAAGAAAGCAATTAAAATTCTGAAAACAACACTAAAATTGCGCACATGGGTAAGAACGGTAAGATTTAGCAACAATGGGATATATATATATATATATATATACACACACACATACATATACTTATCCCAGACTAGTTGGAGTAGATTAAACATGGAACCTGATAAAAACTTTGAAGATTTGAACCCCGATAGACTTGTGTAATGAACAGAGGAAATACAATGATTATGATGCATATGCTGCCATAGTTACGACTCCGCATTTTCTAATCTGTTTATTATAATCTGCCTGGTTGATTCTTTATTTTAACTATTGTTAATTTTCTATCATCTTTGTGAACAGTTTCATGTTTTTACTTCTTGAGAACTATGGAGTGAGGAATTTGGAAGCTGTTTTTGCAGTTCTCATCTCAACTATGGGACTATCATTTGCATGGATGTTTGCTGATGCACAACCTAGTGGAAAAGAACTTCTAATAGGTTGGAATTCCGTGATGTTTGCAACCCTTCTTTTCTTTTGTAGCATAATTGTCACTTATCTTGATTTACTTGTAACGGCAGGTCTTTTGGTTCCAAAGCTCAGCTCAAGAACAATTAGGCAAGCTGTTGGAGTAGTAGGGTGCGTTATAATGCCCCACAATGTATTCTTACATTCTGCTTTGGTGCAATCGAGGAAAATTGATCCAAACAAGAAAGGCAGGGTCCAAGAAGCAATTAATTACTACACAATCGAGTCTTCGATTGCCCTTTTTGTTTCTTTTATGATCAATTTATTTGTGACTACCGTCTTTGCTAAGGGATTTTATGGTACCAAGCAAGCCGATAGTATAGGCCTTGTAAATGCTGGGCAGTATCTTGAACAGAAGTACGGTGGCGGATTTATGCCGGTTCTGTATATCTGGGGTATTGGCTTATTGGCAGCTGGTCAAAGTAGCACCATCACGGGTACTTACGCTGGTCAGTTTATCATGGGAGGCTTCCTTAACCTTCGTCTAAAAAAATGGCTGAGGGCATTGATAACTAGAAGTTGTGCAATTGTGCCGACCATGATTGTAGCTCTTGTATTTAACAAATCGGAAGCTTCATTGGATGTATTAAATGAATGGCTTAATGTTCTTCAGTCCATCCAGATCCCGTTTGCACTTATCCCACTTTTAACCTTGGTGTCGAAAGAGGAAGTTATGGGGGTCTTCAAAATTGGACCTACTCTAGAGGTATGTCACTTTTTGAACTGTTACATTTTGTATACAATTGTTGATGATATGAAAGGGTCTTATTCTGATTAGGTAGAATTTACGTACTAGATCAATGCATATGCTGAACCAATCTAGGGTCTATTTGATCAGATCTCCTGCTAATTGGTCAATGCAGGGAGATTTGATCCTCTGAGATCCCAGTTATGGATTTGGGATTTCTTACCATTTCACTTAACTTCCATAATTAGAAGTTCTTACCCATATAACCTTAGATCACTAATCAGTAATTGGCAGTCTGATGCTCTTGTAATTAGGGAAATTGTCCAAAATAGTCATTTTTGACACCTAAATTCACTTGATAGCTGTTTTTCCACATGATTGACCGAAGTAGCCAAGATTTTGCAAGTACTCCTTTAGCAACTTGCAATTTGTGAAGTCTACTTTTATGAATATAATATTCATAAAAGTAGCAATTTTGCAAGTTGTTAAATGATGATGTGGAAGTGCCACTTACGCGACTTGCTAAAGTGTTACTTGCCATGTCAACATTTCATATGTAGCACTTTAGCTTGCAAAAATGTTACTTTAAGGATATTACATTCATAAAAAGTAGATTCTTCAAGTTGCTAAAGTCTATGCTGTTATAGCGGTGAAAATACAAAATTGCGGTCAGGACCGGTATTTGAAATAGCGGCTATAATGGTGGTATAGCGGTCCAAAAATAGCAATTCATATAATATTTCTTAAATTATAATTAATATATATATATATATATATATATATGTATGCATACATAAACATATCATATGCATTAATTAAATATATAGTTTCAACATCAAAATATCAACTTCAACAAGTTTCACAACACAAAATAGGAAAAATGTTCATAAACGAGTTGATTGCAAGCAATAGGTTCAGCATCCGAGTCAACGTAGTTCTAAAGAGGCCCAAGCTAAAATACCGGAATATCGGTCCGCAATATCACCTGAAATATCGGTCAATTGTGCTCCTAATATCGGAAACGTAATTTTCACAGCAATTTTATCTTAGTTCGCAATCCGCTATTGCCGTGCAATAGCGCCGCAATTAACAACATAGGCTAAAGTGCTACCTGTGAAATCTTGGCTATTAAGGTCAGTTGAGGAGAAAAGCGGCTATAAATTGAATTGGAGGGTCCATAATGAGTATTTTGGACAATATTCACTTGTAATTATCTTTATTATAGTAATCTATATGATATAGGGGGTAGTAGACTAGCAGTTATTAAGCATACCTCTCAAGATGGATAGTGCCAACATGAAGGATCTACTCTGCAGGCATGGGGGGATTCTGCATAAAGAGGTCTCTTCCACAACCACTAATTATCTTAGGGGATAAAACCATCTTCCAGCAAACACATATTACCTTGCCAGCTTTGCACTTGATGTTACCGATTCACAAATTTTTGTATGAAGGGTGCACTTGTTACCATATCGTGGTTAATTAATTAAATTCAACAAATGTGAAGAAATAAGTTTCACAATTAAGCCAAGAAGAAGATAAAGATAGGTAGGCAAATAGTTTTGGTGACAACAACAAAATCCTTAAATATTTTTGTTTTGATATGCCTCTATCCTATTATATCATTGGGGTTGGGCCCAAGGGAAGACCACTAGAAAAAAATCAAAAACTGAGGAACACCTTAATAACCGTTCATTTGTCCAGTTCTGCACATGTGCATAAAAGTAATTGAAAATGTTTCCTAGTTTCTATGCACGTGTGCATTTTATGCATATGTGCATACCAGACAACTTACTTTTATGTGTGCATACCAGATAAATGAATGGTTATTAGGGTGTTACTCAGTTTTTTTTTGTGGTTTTTCCTAGAACCTGAGTCTATGTCACTATACGTACATGTATGGAAATATAAAATAATCCTTCATTCCTAATTTCTTCTTTCCCCTTTTGGAAAGTGTCTTGTGTATAACCAATCACATTACTTATAAGTGTGTGTGTATCTCATTCGAGGAAGTGTTTTAAGGTGTGTCTAGCATATAATTGACTCCTTTCAGAAGTCTCCTTTTAGTAGGACACGTTAGTTTGCAAAATGTTGGCCCTCTTAAACTGTGTGCCAAATCAAATGCTTTATTTTTTTAGGACAGAGGGACTAGAATTTAACATGCTTATGCTTTGACCGAGGAAAGTTCAGTTAGGAACCCGGGAATCACCCACAACGCATCACCTGTCCCTCTTCGGAATAAACATTCATCATGAATAACACATCCATATTTCTGATGAATATGTCATGTGTCGCGCTGTGGGCGGTTCCCTGGTTTCTTACGGAACCTGCCCCTGCTTTGACTCTTCCATTTGTCCCTATATATGGGATCTATGCAAAGAGAAATTAACAAAAAAACAATAGTTCATTCGTATTGTTGGAGTTCATCATCATCTATATATGTTGGAACCTTCCCTTTCTCTATAAGAACCCTATTGAAAGAGTGTTTTGTTGGGATTACACCTTTTTTTCATTCTGGATGCTTTTTGTTGATTTCAGAGAATTGCGTGGAGTGTGGCTGCACTAGTGATGGTGATCAACGGGTACCTACTGCTTGATTTCTTCGTGGCTGAGGTGAACGGATTTTTGTTTGGCGCTTTGGCTGTAACCAGCACTTCTGCATACGTGGTATTTATATTATATCTCATATCTCATGGAGATTGCCTACCATCTACATGGTTTAGCCACATAGTCAATAAAGGGTATTCCTATATTGGAAAATGAATCATTCATCAATCTTGTTGTCCAAATCGAAGATTGGCTGTTGGTATAGTGTTTTAAAGCCATTTTTCGACCACAATCTCCATGAACTTCAAACTGAACGTTAAACATCATTGTTCACGGAGAAGAAGCGATTGAAGTTCTACACACAGATATATGAAGATGGTATTCACTGTTATAGGTTTAACCGTTGACCAAGCAAGCAAGCATTGAGTGCCCCCATTTGAAAAGGTTCGTTATATTATATATTTTTTTCGTGTAGGAAGATATCGTGAAACCTTGTGTTTACACGTTTACTGTGAGTAGTTTTTTTTGGATTAGTGTACTCAAAACACTATAGAACACAAAGTAGATATCAAACATTTTGCATAGAAGATATGATTCTTTGGGGGTGGTGTCCATTCTTTTGTTGCAATGAGAATCTTTTGTTGTATGTATATGTATATATTTTTCGATTAACCTGAATATCCAACCCGCTATGCGAGTCGACTAATCCCAGGACGACCACCTGCTTTGCAGATAGCCTGGAGTCACCGCATTTGAACCTCCGTGGCCACAAGGGGATTTTTGTTTCTTCTTGGATTTGAACCTGGGACCTCCTGATACTTTTGATCTTTGGAGTCAAACTCAAACCAATCAGACACCACCCTTATGGTTATCTTTAGTTGTATATTATGGTTACAGAATACAAAATAGTGTGTGTTCTAGTCAACTAGGTGGTGTGTTTTGTTACGCATACAGGATTGGACAGCATTGGACTAAAGCGATGTAGGCAGGTGGATGATTTTAGGGTTTTAATTTAATACGAATAGTTTACTAATTTACCAATTTTAACGCATCTCCTGATTTTTGTTCCACTTATTTTGGTGGGACAAAAAACTCAGTCTCGTCCTATCCTAGTCTAATGTCGTGTCAAATAAGAGACAACAAACTTTTGTTGTGTTCTGTTCTGTTGTGTTTTATGTACCAATCGCAAACTGAAAGTCTACAAGTCTTTCTAGAGGCACCGGTGATTTCTAGACTAGTTTTATCTTCAACCCCATGGATTAGTCAAGGTGTGAGCAAATTGGCCTGACGTATAAAAAAAACCATTTGTCCTCGGTATACACCTCATACATATAGGTAACTTGCATTGATTAAGTAATAGTACTCGTATTAAAGAACCTCTCAAGTTCTCGTTTGGTTCAATTAAACGGACGTATTATTATGTGTTTGATGTAATTAAGAGAATTTTACTGTTATTTTTCAAAAAAAAAAAAAAAAAAAAGAATACTGACACTTTATAGATATAAAATACTTCGTAAAAAAAATCATGTAACCTTTTTATTTGATATGTTTTGTCATTGATGTAATTTATCCTAAACAAAAACAATCACCGTTTTATTAAATCTCCGACAATTTTTGCATCATTTCTCGAAGATAAAAAACCAAAATGTAAAACCTCAAAAAAATTATCTATATTAATATCAAATTAACTATTTAAAAGTTTTTTTTTATATAATTTATTTAATTCGTTTTTTATTATAATTTAATTTAGATCAAATAATGAAGTAATTTATTTTTGGCTTAACAATAAATTTTTTATAAAGATAATGAGTCTGTTAGAACTCGATAATTATCCTAATTATATTTTAAATTGTTTATATTTTAAAATGAGATGTTTATCCTACATTTGATTATGTTTATCCGCAGTTACACGAATTCAAACATGAAGCTTTAATAAGTTGTACTTATGCATAATTTACTTGTAATCTTGAATTTTAAGTAATATCCATCAATAAACAGTACTTCATGCATAAAAAATAGTTTTTAAGAATTTTTATCAAATGCTTTATAATATAGTATAGATAATAACGTATTCAATTTTATTGGTAGAAGCAATAAAAGATACGTTTTCCCGTTTCATAATAAAATTTTGAGAGTTGTTCCAAATTTGGAGGTTTTTTGATTGCCCCTTTAGGAAGTGTTTGAGATTGCTTATAAAAACAATTTATTGACTTATTACGGTGTGACACCGGTAATAAGCATTTTTGAGTGTTTGCATAAACAATTTATACCGGTGTCAAACCGATAATAAGAAGTTTTTAAATAAGTTAAATCATTCTGACTTATAATAAGTTGATAAGTGTTTTTGTAAAAAAACATAAGTTGTTTCAAATAAGTAATCCCAAACACCCTTTTAATTTCTCAATTTTATATAAACTTTTAAAAACTGATTGGAAAAACAAAACACAGAAACTCCAAAATCTTTATTTTTTTTGATTTCACAAAATCTGTTGAAGATCGTCTTATAAAGCTGAATAAAAAGCTTGGATGAGTTCTTTCAAAGCTCGATGTCATACACGAACGAGACAACAGTCGTTAGCCAAAATCCACAACATGGGAACACATACGGCACTGATCATATACTATGCAAATGTATATAAAAATGAACGCTATCTGCGTAAAAATAATTGAGTTTGGTATGATCACCTTAATTTGATTTATAAACTCGTAAAACCCGTACTCAACTTCACAACCTGGTTTCTCTTTTAATATTAAGCTCATTTTACAATGTGATCAAAAGATTTGGAGGTACAGGGACTCCAAAAACATCCCTGCTGATATAATTCAGATATAATCTATCGTTTAATAATGCAAGATTACAATCAATGAATAATATCGATCTCTCCAAAAACAATTAGGTACATAACCTTAAATGAGATTTTAACTGAATTCATAACCTTTTCATGCGTATAAAGCCAATTTTCTTGTATGTGTCACGAGGTCATGAATTTAATCAAATATTCACTTAAGGTCATATCCTTAAATCATTCTTCAAAAAATACTTTTACGGATATCAGTATTGTTCATAAGTAAGGCTTGTCTGAGTCCGAGTTGTTCACATGTCCGGGACCTCTCAGGCTTGGTCCAGACAGCTTCTCGTCTGCCTCAGGTGGGTCCGACTCATTAGATACCGGAGATGCAGCAACCTCAATTCCGGGAGCCATGGTGTTGGAACTTAATGAAACGAGGAGTAGAAGAAGAACGGTGTTGAGCTTTAGGGTCATTGACAAATTAATATTAATCGATTTTGTGTTTAAAAATGATACTGTAATCGAAACAACAATGAATGCATATGTAATTAAACGTGATTGAATGCAACGCCAACAAAATTCAAATAGCCCCGTTTCTTTAGTTAGACAATAACCTCACATTCCAACTTCTAATTTCATCCCGTCGTTTTCCACAAAGTTTGGGAAATAAACTTTCAAATCGATTTAAAACATATATAATTTTATTAGTTGTACGACAAAATGTGATTTATAGAACATTGAAAATGCCTAATTACATTATAATTCGAGAAGGAAAAAAAAACCGTTTTTCTTTTATTCTTTTGCTTTTGTAATGGTGTTTATGGAATGATTTATATGATATATAAATAATCAAGCATATTTTACATGGATATAACACAAAGTCATGTGTTTAGATAATTTACATCATTTTAACCCTAGAAAACTACATCCGACACGGTTAAGCTTTTGGAACGAGCGGGAATTCACTTGTGATATATACATGATCACAATATGTATACAAATGTAAAAAGATTCTAACTCCGTTCAACTTCTAACTTATCTTGAAACTTGAATATATCTGATTAAAAGCCAGAGGTGGATTCATAAATTATTGGGCGTGGTATCACGAAATAAATGCTATAAGATATCAATATTTTTCCGAAGTTTTGTTTCATAATTTTCATATAAATCTTTAAAGTTTTATTACTTATGATTTTATCTGGAAAAACTTTATGGTTAGACATTTAAGGGCTTAAAGTTATACTTAGCCCCATATTCAACCATACCCTTAAGGGTAGGTCTGCTCGTGTTAAAAGCAGACCATGCAAATAAACTAAAACGAGTTATAAATAATACATATATCCAAAAACATATGTAGTTTCTGAAAGAACAACCCTTTGATCCATATCTCACCCTTCGTTACCCTTCGTTATGTCTTGGGGCCAGGGCTCACCACCTCGGGATGACGATGTATGGCTTTCTTAGGGATAATGATCTCTCTACCTTCCATATTTTCTTCCTCCCCCACTCCACTTGGTTGGGACCTCCAGATCCTGTATTGACCATGTCCCATTACCCTCGGTATCGGGTTAGACCTCATGTCCTCAGAACCAGTAATTTCGGTTAGATGTGAGCGAAAGTCGTGTTGTCCTTGCAACACTCGTGGCTTTGAACCCATCAACTCATAGGCAGAGACTCCATGGATGTCTTTGGTTGCATATCTAAAAGGCCTCCCCGCATTAGCAACTCTATTGAAACTTAAGGTGACGAGAAGCAAAAAAACAAGGGTCGTTGAAAAATTACGCCTTTTCACCATTAGAAATGAAAATTGTGTGAACTAAGGGATGTTTATTTGATTGTTGATGAAGATTGAGACAATTACAATTTGAAGAAAATATGTGGTGTATATATATATATGAATGAATGAAAGTATTCAAACACTTGGATGAATGGAAATTTGACTTCCACCTCCACCATTTGACTATTTTTGTACTCATTTATGAGGTGAAGAAAGTTTGGTGGATTACTTTACCAAAATTAATCAAAATCTTAAGTTTGTTTTTGAAGAAATTATATTACAACTTTAAATGTTTAAAACAAGAATTATTTTATTTAGGGGTGTTTAAAAAAAACCGTTGGACCGTTCAAACCGGTCGAACCAAGTCAAACTGGACCCTTTTTGGCGGTTTGAGCGGTCTAGCGGTTTGGTTTGGTTTGGTTTGGAAAATAGCAAAATCGGGCGGTTTGGTCTGGTTTGCGGTTTGGAACCTTTTTCGGGCGGTTTGGAACCTTTTTCGGGCGGTTTGGACCAAACTGACCGCCAAATATATATATATATATATATATATATATAGGGGAGCGATCAAATGCAAACCACTCAATTTGTACAAACCGTGCAAACCGCATTCAACCAATCATAATTTTTCATTTTGTTCATTTTTTTGTAATTATGAGAGGTTGATTAATCATTTTTATTGTGGAGGATGTTAATCATAGATATTATCATCCTCATAATTTTAATTTTAGAGAAATACATGAAACAGTTTCATTAATGTTAGAGAAATACATGAAACAGTTTCATTAAGTATTATATGAAACAATTTCACAATCATATATGAAACAACTTCATCAAAAAAAGTATTATATGAAACAATTTCACAAGATTAAACAATTTCATGAAAAATTTTCATAAGATTAAACAATGAAATCGACAGATGAAGGTGGTTTGCACGGTTTACACAAATGAGGGCGGTTTTCATATGATCACTCCTCTCTCTCTCTCTCTCTCTCTCTATATATATATATATATATATATATATAATTTAACTATTTATTTTAGTATTAGCAAGTCCAACTTTTTTAACTTATGGGATATAACTCAAATATATCACTAAACCCAACATAAAGCCTAACATCTAACATAAATCGAGATGGATATTTAATCTAAAGTTATAAATTATATATGTTTTTTAAGTTTAATACTTAAAGTCCATTAAAGGCCCAAACCGTCTTAACCGGTCAGACTAGACCGCCTTTTTATGGTCTGGTTTGACTGGTTTGGGCACTTGATGTCAAACCCGCTTGGTTTGAAAATTTTATAAACTGTCATTACAGTTTGGTTTGTAGTCTGAGGGATTAAACCGTCCAAATCAGACCGCGAATACCCTAATTTCATTTTTGAAGTCATTTTAATTCCAAATCCAATATATCATTTTTGTTTTTTTAGAGTAAATTACAAGTTTGGTCCCTGTGGTAGACCAAAATGTTGACTAGAGTCTCTAAATCGAAAAAGCTAGAGTATGGTCCTTGTGGTATGCATTTTGTTCTGGATTGGGTCCCTTGCTGTAACACCGTCATTTTGCCTTCTGTGACAACACTCACATGAGGGTCAATTTCATTATTTTTATGAAGGTAATCCTCTCCCCTTCCACGCTCCTCCCCATCCTTATCTTCTTAAAACCAGATTCTTCAAATTCCAACAACCTGTCTTTTCTTGACTGCTTTCTTTATACATCATGTTGCTCTTGATTAGAAGATTGTCCTTCTATTCGGCAGTGTTGGGATTGTACAATAAGACCCATATATCCCTTTGTTTATTAATCTTCGGATTGCACAAGAATAATGGTTTTGAAGCGAATGAGACATATTATCCCATGAATGAAGGGGATGCAAATTTGTCGTGTAAGAATGGAACCATAAGAAGTCGTCACTGTTGAGGAGTAATTGAAGGTGCATGTTGGAGTATATGAGACAAGAAGATTGTCGATGTGGATTGGGCTTGAATAACTGATTTTATGATTGATTGAGCAAGAGAGCAGAAAAATACGTATTAGGGTTTCAATTGGGTAATGCCTGAAGTAGGTTGATTTTTTTTATTTTGATTCGGTTTGGATCAATTTTTTCTCATGAAACAAAATTAAATAATTAAAGGAGCTAATTATTTAATTTTTAAAAAATGAGGGTAAACAACAAATGGACGAAAGTACCCCTCATGTAAAGCGTCCGGTCCATGGGCCTAATTAGAGATTGTTTTTAAATTGAGATAAGGCAACAAAAGAAAACAAAGTACACACAAATGGACAATATTCCTAATTGTTTGATTTAGAGACTCTAGTCATAACTTTTCCTATAGCATAAGGATCAAACATCTTTACTCTTTATATTTATATATATATATATATATATATATATATATATATATATATA